GTGTGTCAAGGGAGCTATTAAAAAAAGAAAAGATTATTTTGGGGCAGGGACATCTGTTTTCAGGGGAAGGGAACAGAGGATGTGAAGGGTTTTTATCACGCAGATTGCCGCTTCTCTCTGGGGGGGGATGGAGAGTGCCCACATGGAGGCTACCTCCTTGGTCCTGACCAGAAAATTCTAGCCTGGTTGATATTGTTAGGGATTAAATCTGGGTTTGGTATCATGGGCTTTTTTTCTTTTTTCTCTTTCACGAGAGACACCATTGGGGGCCTGTGATTTTCTCTTTAACATTACTCAACAGAGACGTGCCTCGGTTTCTCCATCTCTAAAATGGAGACGGTAACCCAGAGTTGTTGTGACGATTGCATATGTTAACAGAAAAAATACAATGGGACCCAGCACATAGTAAGTGCTCAATCAATGTTAGCTCAAAAGGTATTATAAAACACACAAATAGAAATTACAGTGGGTGAGATATAAAATATGTGTAAATAGGGTTTTAGCACTTGTCTTTCTGTACACGGTGGGTCAGCTGACCACTCCATGCGGTATGTGCATCCCATTCTGAGACTGTAAATAGGAGGCTGGATAAGCCCTGTGGGCTGTAGACGTTGAGGATGTGGGTGGGATAAGGGCCAGAAGCAGGAGGACCACAGGAAAGGCAGAATTGCAGGGCAGGAGAGAGATGAAGGGGTTTGAGGTGGGGCATCCTCGGGGAGATGTGAGGAGGACCCACTGAGGACAATTGCGGGGCGGGGGGTGGGCTTGTCTGATGGCCTTTGCACAAGGACTTAGCAGGGATGGCAGAATGAAGACAGGGAGGAGATGCTTGGTGTGGGAGGGAGCCAAGCTTTGGCATTGGGAAGCCAGGCAGGGAGATGCAGACAAGGCCAGAGCAGTGGGCTTGGCTCCCGTGGTCCCGCAGCTCTGGAAGGTACTGGTAGCTCAGGCTGCGTGTGCCTGCATTAGCATTTACGACGGAGCCTGTAATGGGCCACGGTTTAAGCATTACTTACAGGCCCACTATTTTGCACAGATAGTGCTTATTTACAGACAGCAGTTACTTCATTTAGTTTTCCCAGTAACTCTGCAAGAGCATTATCATCCCCATTTTACAGATGGAGACACTGAGGCTTACAGAGGTTAAGTGACTGGAGCCGTGAAATGACAAGCTCAGTATAAGCGCCTGCCATATAGTCCGAGAGGGCATGTGCTCTTTGTCTTCTGTACACACTGTCTCCTGCTAGAGCTTAGAAAACTGTGCACCCTCTTTATGTCCTAGTTACCCAGTTCTCAGTGTCCTTTCAGGGAAGAGCTTTCTCCCCAACTCCGGGGTATCTGTCTGAAGAGCAGAATACTAGCTGCTTGCCAGGAAGCGCCTCCCAGTGTATGTCTGTCCCCACCCAGAAAGCAGACAGATGTCATGTGGAGAAGCCCAGGCGAGGAGGGGGAGCCTCAGGTGGCCCAGAGACCCACAAACATCCCCTCAGAAGGCATGGCCCACCCAGCTGTGGTGGAATCTTCTTAAAAGAAGATTTAAGAAGATTCAACTGAGACCCTCCAGCAACTCATTGCACAGGTGAAGGATTTGATTTGCCTCAGGCACCCGCACAGGAAAGGCTCGCGTGCATCTTCCATGTCCTGCCCTCTGTTCCGTCTCCATTCATGGTCGAATCTTACCGCTTCCAAAGAATCGGAGAAGGTTTGCCCTGAGTGTGATAAGTTACAGATGAACCTAGTCCGTAACTGTGAAATATGCTCGACAATTTAAAACTCTTCGTGCAGACCTCTGCGAGGTGATCAAAGGTGAACGAGGGGGATCGCTGGGCCCTGCTGGAAGGCAGAGTTCAAGATGATTTATCAAGTCAGTGTCTCACCTTCCTATGACCTTAGCAGTTTGCAGAGCAATTTCCCGCCCCATTCTTGGTATGATATTTAACACGTGAAAAGCCTGCTTAAACAGTGCTTCTAAAACATTCTTTCTTATCTGAAGGCTTTGTAAAAGGCATTCGAGGTTTGTTGAATGAATGAATCAATGAATGAATGAGTGCATGCATGACAAGTGAGTCTTTTTTCCCCTTCAGTATCAAAGGTCAGTTTAAGCCAAGCCCTTGATTGAGTCATCACCAAGCCCTGGAATCACTCATAAAGTCTTACCATGGGTGATATGTTTGCTGGGACAGATTAGAAATGGCTCCGTGGAAACTCTCACTGAATCCTGGAAGGTGGTACTGTCGGGGCTATGCCTGCACGTTAAGTTATTCTGTGGATCATGGTCATGACCGCGGCTCTAGTGACCAACCCCACTCACCAGCTCGTGCAGAATTTCAAGCCCTTTCGCGTACTAGTCTTGCAGGGGACGGATCAGTCTCCTGGAAGCTTTTTTTGGTGAACACGGTAAATATGGCTTCAGAAATACCAGCGCCGGGGTTCAGAGATGTTTGTCCCACCGGCCTTTGTCCACAGACCCAACAGCAGAGGGGTAGCCCCTGCACCACAGCGGGAGCATTTTATCTTGAAAAGGGGATATTGTTCTTTCTGTTCTCTAAAGAGGCAGCTCGAGCTCGTTGAGGTTACCGAGAAAGCAGCTTCCCGATTTAGGGGAAAGGGAAGCCGAGCAGCCCTCCTGCGAGATGTCAGTTTCTAATCCTTGGACTTTTCATAGAGTTCTCCTCCTCCTCCTCCTCCTTGGGACGAGGCACGTGGCATTCTAGCAAGTTCGACAGGTCTTAAATTCAGACTGATCATTCATTTGAAGCAGAACAGCAACAGAAAATAACAAAGCAGCTAAAATCCGAGTGTTGCAAACTTCTTGGGCCAATAATTGTGAAATAGCGTTGCTTTTGCCAGTTCCTGTTTTCATTTTCCATAAATCTATTCTGGTATCGTTTTATTCCCTTGAAGTAGATGTAGCAAGTTCTCAGTGACACCGAGTAAAACGAGATAATCAGAAACCCCACTGTATGTTACACGAGAGCAACTAAACCCTGACTCCGTGTTAAACTTAGAAAAATTACCTTCTGGGGAAAATTCCAAATGTTTTAGGGAAGCCACGAAACTACCTGAGAACGTCCCCAAATGATGTTAACACATCTGTGGTGAGTGATGAAGCACAGGAATTGCAAATTGGAGTGGCTCAGGCCGAACAGCAAGATTCTGGTGACTTAGAGTTTCTGCAGCACGTACGTGGGTCGGGGGCAGCAGGGACGGGTGGCATCTGCTCCTGCCCAGCTGTGTGAGCTTGGGTCCCTGTCTGTGCTTCTCTGAACCTGCACAGCCTCCTCTACAAGGGACAGGCTGATAAGACTGGGGCCAAAAGGTGGTTAAGAAGTACCAGGGGTGGGGAGGGGGAGCTCAGAAAATGGGCCTCTGCCATTGTTTTGAAGGTGGGAGAGAGAAGAGATGGAGAAAAAGAGAGCAAAGCTTTGCTTGTGCGAGGCTTGAAGCAGATTGCTATGTGAGCGAAACACCCCGTTATCTGAGTGAGGCTTCGGGATAAAAACCTGACACCGAAATTCTTTCCGTGTGCTGCTAATAGCACCGCCGAGCGGAGCAAATGGAAGGCATTTACCTTTCACCAGCTCTCCCTCGCCGGCTTTTGATGGGGCAGCCAGTTCAGGCATCAGGGCCAAGTGCAGGCAGCTCGGGCTGCAGGGATCCAATTTGTAGCCTCTTCCGGGCCTGCTGCTTCCCGATCGCAGGCCCACCGTGCCAGGCCCTCTCATTCCTCCTCCCGCCCCTTTTAAAGTGGAGAGGCACCTGGCCATGCCTTCTGCCGTGGTCCTCACTGTCACCTTGTCTTGTACTAGTGAAAGATGGAGGGGCTCAAAATCCCCCCGTGGGGTCATTTGTCCTCATTCTCTCTGCTGGCCGGGCAATGAGTGTAGGCCGGGCAAGCATTTGGTGTCAAGAAAAGACAGCGTGGCCTGGAACATTGTGTCTCAGTGGGTTCCCTTGTAATTCCTGATTCTGTATTCTGGTGGGGGTGGGGAGGTTGTGCGGCACCCACTCCTCCTGCATATCTCCTGCTTGCTGTGGAACCCCCCCCCAGCTAACATGACATCTGTTAGGTGCTCAGCAAACATGCCTAGGATAGATGACTTGAAATAAGTGCTGTATTCTGGTTTATAGCATTTTTTCCCCAGGACTCTGGGTCCTCAATAACCCTCGAAAGTCCCCATTAAGCCCTTTCTAGAGGACCATGAAGCTTGTATCATGAAAGGCCCAGCTTTTGGCTTAGTTCTCTGTGAAGACTGAGCATATGTAGCATGGCTGGAGGCCCTGAGAAATCTAGTTCATCCTCTTTGTGTAACTGGACGAAGGCATGGGCACACAGAGAGACAAGAACTTACATTGCTCAAGGCGGTGGCAGCCTCACCATCAGACCCCCAGTAGCCTGCTTACTTATTATTTAAAAAAACATATTTTTATTGATTTCAGAGAGGAATGGAGAGGCAGAGAGAGATATGGAAACATCAATGATGAGAGAGAATCACAGATCAACTGCCTCCTGCATGCCCCCTACTGGGGATTGAGCCCATAACTCGGGCACGTGCCTTGACTAGGAATTGAACCATGACCTCTTGGTTCATAGGTCAATGCTCAACCACTGAGCCAGGCCTGCTGGGTTAGCCTGCTTATTTAACCAGGGCCCCCACATCTCAAGAGGCAGAGTGATGTGGTGGCTAAGAGTGCAGGCTCTCGGAACCAGAGCCTCAAGGGCTGCTGGTTCAAACCTCAGCTTTGCCACCTATTAGCTGAGTGATTATAGGCAAGTCACTCAAGCTGTGCCTCAGCTTCCTTATCTGTAAAATGGGGGTAACAGTGGTCCCTCCCCTCTAAAGCTCCTTAGAGGACTAAATGAGTTAACATCTCTAAAACAATTAAAGCCATTCCTGGCATATTAGCAGCACTATATAAATGTTTCTTACAACTATTATTTCTTTCTCTAATCCCTGAATAACCTATTAATTCCAGTTCAATAACCACTTCTGGGCCAGGAGCAGCATGTGGATGGAAGATGCCAGATGAACAAATCATGGCTTTGGCCTCCAAGCTGCTTGCATGCAACATCATGAAGGAACGATGGACCTGGTCAGCCTTGAGCCTGGAGAGGAGCAGCCCCCTATGAAGGCCAAGGGTAGGTATCAAAGCCATAGCTCTCCACATCACACAGATGGGAAGGTGAAGAAGGCCCCACGGAGAAATTGCTGCTGCTCCCTGTGACAGGTTGTATTTCCTAAGGATGGCCTCAATGGCACCTCCCATTCCACATGCTTTTCTAGAGCCTCATCACTTTCACATCAAGAGGTGGAGTCTAATTCCCCTTCCCCTGAATCTGGGCAGGGCTCCCAACTTGCTCAGAAGGCGCGGAATGCTGCAGAAAGTGACACCCAGTGACTTCTGAGTCCAGGCCATCAAAGGTCAGGGCTGGGAAGCGAGGTGGGCTTCTGGCGTTGGAGCTGGAATGCTTGCCTCTGGAGTCCTGAGCTGCCACTGAAGGCCCCGAGGCTGCCATACTGTGAGGAAGCACAGGCCACAGGGCGAGGACACGTGCAGCCTCTGGCTGACAGCAGCACCAGCTGAGGTCCTCGCCAGACACGTGAGTGAAGATACTTCCAGATGATCCCAGTCCCCGGCCTACTGAGTCACCCCGCCTTGGAGTTTTCCCAGCTATCTCTTCAGACACTGGGGAGCAGAGTCAAACCTGTTCCCTTTCCAAATCCCCAACCCACAGAATCAGCGAATAGACCAAAGAGGTTATTTTAAGCCACTAAGTGTTAGAGTAATTGGTTGAGCAGCAGCGATAGCCAGCACACTCCCCTCGGACCTTCTGCTGGGACTCACTCATTTACGACTCCCAGCAAACAGACAATTCTCTCTCCGGAGATCTCAGAGGAAGAAGGCGTACTCATAATAAGGTTTGTTTCTTCATGAGTCTAGAGAATTCCCAGAGATCAACGATGCTATAGCTGGAAAAGTTTCTGGAGCTTACCATGTGTCCTGCTTGCCAACATCTGGCAGTGACAGCTCCCCAGGGAGTCAACACCACCCCCACAGGAGAGCGGGCAAAGGATAGCAATGGAGTCCCCTCACCACCCCTGGCTGCCCCATGCACTTCTGCTGAGCGGGCACGGATCACAATGATGCGTGCAGATGAAAGTGCCAAGTTAATGTGATGTTCAGTCCACCTGGATGGATGGGATTCCCCTTGAAGAAAGACAAGGACTCTTCATTTGGTTGGCAAGATGGTTCCCATATTTTCTAGCCTGTTATTCATCTATCTGCTTGCTGTTTGCCCCGGACTCTATATTTAGTGTCTATTATTTTGTTCAGTTCTCACGGTCAGGGTGGGAAGTTGTTTGTCCACCTTATTTTAAAGACAGAGAAACTGATACTCAAAGACTAACTCAACATGTATTGATTACTAACACATGTCTAATCAATGGGGAGGCTTGGACTTAAACCCGGGCCTTCTGATTCCAAATTCAGGTCGCTCGTTATTGTACTCTGAAAAGAATCTCTGTTCTGGAGCAAAAAGATGTCTGTTTGTTCCAAGGTTGTCAGGAGAATGCGTGTTTAACATGTGATGTTCCTTGCTTTTCAGGCAGCTCCCAAGCACTGGAATTCTGTACTTCAACTGCAAAGGAAGTTAGTTTTCTGCTCGAGTGAGATGAAACCAGTGGCGATCTGAGGTATCTGTCACTGTTCATAGTGCAAATTCTCCCACTGTGCTGATTGTGAGCCACCAAGTGACCCTGGAGCTGAGGAGAGAGCTGCACATTTTGGTCTGGTGAGCTAGTCCTGGCAATAAATGAAACCAATGCAAATTCAGGCTTTTTGTAATTCTTTGTTTCCCCCAAAGCAATCAAAGGCCATCTAGTCCAAAGTTTCAAACGATGAAAGACAGTGAGCAAAAACAGAGATGCTTTCCTGAGTTGGAGGACAGGTCATTTCTGAGACCAGTTCCACAAGGGGCACCATTCTGGAGTGGTGGGCAGTCATCAGCTCCAAAGAGCTCTGGTTTCCCCAGTAACCCAACCCCAACGATACCGGAGGTGAGTACTGATTCCTCAGTGTGGCTTGACCATCCTGCTTGTGTTGGGGTCAGGGTGGTGAGCAGTATTGCAGGCCTGGGCCCTGGAAAGGAACCCCACAGACTTCAACCATGCTTCACAAGTCAGTGTGGCTGGCCTGAATCTCATGGGGTCCCCTTGGCCTCCACCCTTCCAGGGCTGTGAGTAAAGCCTTAAAGGGAGGAAGGGGTCCCCAGTGTCTGCTAGGAGCACTCCCCCAAGGTGTGATTCTCTTAAGGGGTGGAAATGTGCAGCTCCCCTTCTCTCACTGCCTTCCCCTTCCCTTAGAGGTCTGACGTCTGGTAGCATGTCCTTCTGCTCCTACGGAAGAGAAGATGGAGAGAGGTGGGTGAGGACCTCGAGGAGGAGACCTGATCTGGATGGCGACAGAGGTGTGAGCAGCACTGGGGAACAGGACCGAGTGGCTGAGGTCCCCAGTGTGGGGATGGGCAGCTGGTGGGGATTGGTGCACACGCTTTAGGAGCCAGCAGCTGACACAGAGCAGGTAGGGGCAGTTAGAATGAATACGAGGGTTTTTGATCTGGCCCCTGCCCTTCTCTCTCCTAATCCCCACCCAATTCCCCAGACAAATTGAACTTCCTGCAATCCCTTCAACACCCAGACTTCACCTCACACTTTTTTAACTATTCTCTTTCAATTGTCTATCCCTCACTCTGCCCCATCTTTGCAACTTCTGCTTACCATGTGAGACCCAGCTAGGGTTCACCTCCCCAAGAATCCTTTTTTTTGCCCTGGGCTTCTCACCCCAATGCACACACATGTATGCTTTTGTGTACACACACACACACACACACAGCCTACACCACACCGCAGTCCAAGTTAGAAATGCAGCCCTTGCTTCTGCCCCCAGAGCAGCCATGGCCAGTTAAGGCCTTTCACCCTCTGCTCCCCACTTCCTCATCTGTAAAATGAGGGGGTGGCTAAGCAATCTGCTTGTTCCAGAGTTCTGGGGAAATCTCTGCCAGTGTGTACCTACGAGGGTGCCAAGCAACCAGCACAGCCTCCTCATTCCATTCTAAGTAGAAGTGCCTCAGGTCAAAGCAATTTATTTGCAGGCACTTCCAGCACAGCCTGGCCTACAGTGGCTCCAATTCCATGCTGACATCTTCCATAGAGCTGGCTTAATGGAGAAAAATGACTCTATTCCCTAAACTAGACAGACTTTGGAAGGGGTTAGGGTGGGTGGTGAGGGGACTTTTATTTACATGTCACATTTCTCTAATTCTGGGGAATTTAAGCATCCTTTTGGCGTTGTTTTCTATTTCCTACCCATCCCATTAATGAAGATTAATGAAAGGACTAAATCTATTGAGTAAAACTAATCAAAATGACAATTTTCAGTCTTTTCGCCTAGAAACACGGCATGCCCAATTTGGGCATCTCATAAAATCCCATCCAGTTAAAACCGTGGTTATTAGGCAATGAATACTTAGTTTTGGTTCTGCTTACTCTCTGGAAATGCTGTTTTCCAAAAGCATAAATGTGACAGGAAATTTCTTCACTCCGTTTATCCCTAAGTAGCTTAAATCGTATTTCATAATTGCAAATGGACTTTTCCCTGCTTGTGCAGGCGGGCTCTGGCTGCTCTTCTTATCGAGGCTATGAGTATGACAATATCTTCATTTCCAGGGTGACAGAGAGGAGCAGATGAGATCATGGACGGGAGAACTCTTTCTACCAATAAATTCCAAAACTCAAATGAAGGAGGCGACCTGGCCAGCGGCAGTCCTGAGCAGGCTCTGAGCCCTAGGACAGGAGGGAAACGTCCAGCCCACGGGCCGTATAAAGCCCATAAAATCATTTGGTCTGGCCTTGCCAAGGCATTAGGGGTGAGTTAATTAAATGTCTGACCAAATATAGTAGGTTAATTTAAAAATATGTATTTTTTATTGATTTCAGAGGGGAAGGGAGAGATAGAAACATCAGTGATGAGAAGCATGGATCGGCTGCCTCCTGCATGCCCCCCACTGGGGATCCAGCCCGCAATCGGGGCATGTGCCTTGACTGGAATTGAACCATGACCTTCTGGTTCATAGGTTGACGCTCAACCACTGAGCCATGCTGGCTGGGCTAGTAGGCTGATTGTTGATAATTCTGTATGGCCTGAGGATGATGTTATAATATCCAAATGGCCCTTGGCAGAAACAAGGTTCCCTCCCCTGCTCCAGGAGGATAAGCCCGAGCTCCCTGGAGAGAATGGGGTGACACCCAGGACTGTGGGACGGAACTAGGCCAGTGATGGCGAACCTGTGACATGCGTGTCAGAGGTGACACGCAAACTCATTTTTTTTGGTTGATTTTTCTTTGTTAAATGGCATTTAAATATATAAAATAAATATCAAAAATATGAGTCTTTGTTTTACTATGGTTGCAAATATCAAAAAATGTCTATATGTGACACGGCACCAGAGTTAAGTTAGGGTTTTTCAAAATGCTGACACGCCAAGCTCAAAAGGTTCGCCATCACTGAACTAGGCCCTGGGATACAGACCCATGAGCAGAGGTTAAGAATCTGAAATGGAAATGCTTACACAAGACTATGGTTTCTCCATCTTCTCTATTTCTCCTTTCCTTTTGCAACGTATCCTCACAAATGCCCCTTTGCCCCTCCGGTAAAGAAGCGATATTTCTGCGAGTCCAGTTCCTCAACTTCAAAATTCGAGGAATTTGCAAACAGTCATGTCATGTGGCCCTGCCTCAACGTTTCCCAGCGAACTCTTCCATCCCACACTGCAGATATGGTGAGGAAGAGCAGATCTTTGGGTTCTCGGTGCACTGGGCAAGTTTGAATGCCATTGGAGTCTTACTGATACCCACCCTCTGATGTATACGTGCCTCTGAGAAAAACAGGGGGTTCCTCAGATATAAGGGTTCATGAGTTGACATTCAACCACTGAGCTACTCCTGCCAGGTGATTCTTCAGCTTTTAACTTACCATTTCTCAGTAAATAGGCCTAAAGATTTTAGATTATTTTTATATCCACTGGATCCTGGAGTGGTTGGAACTTTGGTTCGACCTCTGCAGATGACCCGATGGTAACTTGAGCCTCCGTCATTCATGGCAAACCAACCTGCGGTTTGTGTCCTGGCTGTGCCACTGAATCTTCGTGTGACCTTGAGCAAGTCACTCCCAGCTGCCTTATCTGTAAAATGAGGACATTGGACCAGATCAGCTTCCAGGTCTGACCTTGTTGTGGGAGATGAAGGAGGCGTGGAGACTGTTGCAGTCTTCCCAGATAAAGTGCCCATGCGATTACCTCCTGGAGGCCTGGCGGGAGGGTTGCTAGATTTAGTAAGTGAAACTACAGGCCAACCAGTTATATTTGAATTTCAGATATACAACCAATACTCTGTGGTATGAGTATGCCCCCTGCAATATTTGGGACATAATTATACTCAAAGTATTTGTCATATATATGAAATTCAAATTTATCTAAGGAACCTGTATTTTATTTGGCACCCTTACCTTGAAGGTTTCCTGTTCTCTCTCTATCCCTTCAGAAAAAAAAGAGGAAAAACAAACAGGTGAATGAGCAAGCAAAATTTGTTAATTTTTGCTTTTATTATATGGGTAAAAACCTCCCTTTCTGAGTTTTTAACTTGTGACATAGCACCCAAAATATTAAATGCAGAAGGGAAAAACAATACTACTTCCAGTTTTTCTTTTAATTGAGCATTTATTTGCATTTAAGAAACACAATTCTATGTCTGTATGTGACATTTCCTCCTATCTTGTGACCTAACACATGGATCTTGATTTGAATAAGCCTGTCTTCTCCCAAAAATATTCTCTGGGCCAAAACCCACTCTGCCATTACAAGGAATTCTGTTCCTGAGTTTCCTTCAAACATTATTATTTGTGTTTGAACACATACACACACAATCTGAACTTGCACTTTTTGCTTTTCAGCCAGGAATGGCATGTGGATGGCGGTTTGGCGGTTGTGAAACGGCCCTGAAACATCAGTGAGGAAAGTGTTCCTCCTGCATTTGTGGCCCAACTCCCTGCAGGAACTGCAGGTTTCTGTCTCCTGGAGCAGGAGGAAGCACCAACTAGGGGCGGCCCTGGGCCAGGGAAGCAAAGAAGCTGGCGGGACAGAGCTGCCTGTATTCAGTGGACATGTGCTCCTAACCTTTCTCAGTGCCCTTTGCAAACGTTATTTGATGCTATTGGGAAATCACAGGTGTCCTGGAATTGGTGGCACACCTGAGCGTCCACTGGGAAGACGGCCCCTCCACCCCAACCCTCTATGTGCTGGACATTTTTGCACTGACATTTGAATAAAGAGGTGGTGGAAGGAGCAGCAGTGCCTGAGAATCTGGAGATTTGCATTTTCCTTATGGGTCTGCCAGGGACCCACTGCCAGACCTTAGGTTTCAGGGGCCATCTGGTCACTGAGGGTTGGTTGAGCTGATTTCTAAGAGACATTCCAGTCCTGCCCTTCTGTTATTCATTCATTTATTGTGCACCAGTTTATTCATCTGAACACAAGGCTGGAAATAGGAAATTCTGCAGCTCGGGGAGATCAGAACAGACTATATGACCTACTTTTTCCATTTATATTCACCCAGAGAGACTTTAAATGAGAAATCAAGGTAAGTATCAGAACACAGAGCCATAACCAACTTTCGTTGTATTCTATTTGCACAGTAAAACCTAAAAGTACCCTGCACCAGGCTCTACTTAGGGGACAGAGATGAAGCAGGCAGGATCCCTGCACTGGGAGCTCACAGGGGTGGCGGGGAGATACAGGGACAGGAGCGAGCACCAGGGACTGTGGCTCGTGCAGTGGTGGAGGGAAGGGCAGCGCTCAGAGGGAGAACCGAGGAACAAGTGGTTCGTTTACCTTTGCTTATTTCTCTTGTGGAAGTGACATGTAGGGGGTGGCGTGGACCATTGGGGCAGCAAATAGAGGAAGTATATGCAATCAAAAATAGGAGAGGAGGAGGAAATAAAAGTCCTAATCTAACAGAAGCACAGAGGGCCCTGGCAAGCCGGGGGATGAGTAACTTGCCCGGGTGCTTTAGAAGCTGGGATATTTCTCCAATGTCCCACTGGGCTCAGGAAACAGAACTGGCCTTCTCGGTCAAGAAGTGGCACTTACTCGATGTCACAGGCAGAGCATGGCTGCTCCTCAATCCCTGGGGAAGGGACTCGGGGCTTCCCAGGGGGGGATGGGGAAGCTGCCCTCAGAGGTTTTGTGTTCCTCTTCAGGCCACCTGGTTTGGCCACTGCCACAGATGGGGACAGGCTGGGCCCACGAATGCCTTCTGTTCCTGGACTCCTCAGTGAGGTGTGAGAACACCCATCCGTAGGGTACCTGCCCTACCCAGGTTGCAGCAGTCTACATGGGGTGAGAGCCACATACTATCACAACACAGGGCACCCAAACGCCCCTGTTGTGGAATGTGCCTGGTGTCTACAACTGTCCCTTATTTCAATTCCACAGAGCTCTCCATTGAACCTGCAACTCTATCCACAAGCCCAAACTCTTCTCCTGAGAGTTCACAGGGAAATACCCCTCTCCACCTATCCCTGACATGTTACACATGGTCCCTGGGACACTGTCAGCAGTCAGTAAATATTGAATAGTACTTCAATTATACCTCAATACAAAGAAGAGTTAAGATGAAGTTATACTGAATTAGGGTGACCCCAAACCTAGTTCCTGATATCTTCATATGAGAAAGGGGAGGGATATTGAACACAGAGGGGAGCAGAGAAGGCCAGGTGATGGCAGAGGTTGGAGTGACACAGCTGTCAAAGATTGCCAAAGACTGCAGCCATCATCAGAAGCTAGGAAGAGGCAGGAAGAATTCTTCCCAAGGGCCTTCAGAGAGAGTCTGGCAAACAAATATTCAATGGCTTTCTAAATACTTAAAAACTTAAATGAACTTAAAAAGTAAATGGAGAAAATGATCATGGGCATGTGTAGAGGAGGGATCTTTGAGCTTCTATTCTCCAGGCAGAGAAGCCAGAGAGGTAGCCCCTAGGAAGGGGATCACCTGCAAAGCGATGGGTGTGTTAAGTCAGAAGGTCTGTTGAGGAGTCATCAAGCAAGCACCTTGGTTTGAGTAAAATGTGAGGCTAGAGAGGTTGGTTGACGACAAATTGTGAGCACATGCAATCATGTTTGGACTTGATCTTATCAGCAAAGGGAAGCTACACAGATGGTAGTGAGACTTTCTTTCCATCAGAGCTTGGGAATCTCCAAGAAACCTTTCAGTTTCTCTAGAACATTTTGAATTGCTGGAAGAGTGATTTAAGTCACCCCTACACAATTCTGCAGAACATGTCTAGGATTTCCGAATCAGGGGTGTACCCTGCTTGGCTTCTGCCCATGCTAGTCCACACTGTGATCACTGCTTGCTGCCGTGTGCCCCCTACTGTGGCCTCTAAAGTCCCCAAAGCTAAGGGTGACAGGAATCAGTCACAGTAATAAATCTTGGGTAAATCCTGTGCTGACTTTACCTAAATGCTGCTGAGACCAGGGGAATGAGAGACTAATAGAGCACCATGGAATCCAGTAACTCAATCCCCAAGTCAGTGAGCTCATTTAAGAACCCTCCTTGTGGGAGGTAAAAGACATGTACTTCAAAAACTACAAAACGTTGAAAAAAGACATAGAGGAAGACATGAACAAGTGGAAGAATATATCATGTTCATGGATTGGTAGCATCAACATCATTAAAATGTCCATATTACCCAAAGCAATCTACAGATTCAATGCAATCCCTATTAAAATACCAATGGCATATTTCACAGACCTAGAATAAACACTCCAAAAATTTATATGGAACCAAAAAAGACCCCCAATAGCCACAGCAATCTTGAGAAAGAAGAACAAAGTTAGAGGAATCACAGTACCTGATATTGTTATACTACAAAACCACTGTGCTCAAAACAGCTTGGTACTGGCACAAGAATAGGCGTATAGATCAATGGAACAGAACAGAGAACCCAGAAATCAACCCAAGCTACTATGCTCAATTAATATTTAACAAAGGAGGGAAGAACATACATTGGAGCAGAGACTGTCTCTTCAGTAAATGGTGTTGGGAAAATTGGACAGGTACATGCAAAAACATGAAACTAGACCACCAACTTACACCATACACAAGAATAAACTAAAACATGAGTAAAAGACTTAATGTAAGATGTGAAACTATAAAAGTCCTAGAAGAAACCACAGGCAACAAAATCTCAGACATCTCTTGTAGCAATATGTTTACTGATACATCTCCTAGGACAATGGAAACTAAGGAGAAAATAAACAAATGGGACTACATGAAAATAAAAAGCTTCTGCACAGCAAAAGAAACCATCAACTAAATGAAAAGGGAGCCCACTACATGGGAGAACACATTTGCCAGATACATTTGATAAGGGTTTAATCTCAAATATATAGGGGACTCATATAACTTAACAAAAGGAAGATAAATAATCCAATTTAAAAATGGGCAAAGGCTCTAAATAGATACTTCTCCAAAGTGGACATACAGTTGGCCAAGAGACATATGAAAAATGCTCAAAGTCACTAATCATACCAGAGATGCAAATCAAAATGACAATGGGGTATCACCTCACACCTGTCAGAATGGCTATCATCAACAAATCAACAAACAACGAGTGTTGGCGAGGTTGTGGAAAAAAGGGAACCCTCCTGCACTGCTGGTGGGGATGCACACTGGTGCAGCCACTGTGGAAGACAGTATGGAGTTTCCTCAGAAAAACTAAAAATGGAACTCCCAGTTGACCAAGCGATCCTGCTAGTAATATATTCTAAGAAGCCTGAAAGAATATATGCACCCCTATGTTCATAGCAGTGCAATTTACAATAACAGATTTAGAAAAAGCCTAAGTGCCCATTAATAGATGAGTGGATAAAAAAAAACTGTGGTACATTTACACAATGGAATACAACACAATTGTAAAAATGAAAGAAGTCTTACCATTTGCAACAGCATGGATGGACCTGGAGAGTATTATGCTGAGCGAAATAAGCTAGTCAGAGAAAGATAAGTATCACATGATCTCACTCATATGTGGAATCTAATGAACCAAATAAACTGATGATCAAAAATAGACCCAGAGACATAGAAGCATGTACAGACTGTTGAACCTCAGAGGGAAGAGAGGGGAGGGTGGGAAGAGATCAACCAATGAACTTGTATGTATATATGCATAACCCATGGACACAGACAATTGGTGGTGAGGGCCTGGGGGAGAGGGGATAGGAGTGGGCTGGAAGAGGTTAATCAGGGGGAAAGGAGAACCTTGGCAATACTTTCAACAATAAAGACAAAAAAAAAAAAGAACCCTCCTTGGGGTCATTGCTTAAGTCAGTCCTCCATAGCAATTCCAGCAAAATGGGTGCAAAATGGGTGCCAAATGGCTACCATGAAATTGAATGTTTATTGGCCAACTTCCTACCTATATCATATTGATGGGAGAACTGACAGAAGTGGAGGAGTAAGGCTTATAACCATCTGGATTTTTTGGAGATAGGGCAGGTCGTATTGGAAAGTTCCTGGGCTAGACACTGTTGAATTGTGTTTCCCAAGAAAAGATGTTTTGAAGTTCTTACAAAATATGACCTTATTTGGAAGTAGGGTCATTGTGGATGCAGGTAAGTAAGATAGAATCATACTAGGGTGGGCCCTCCATCCAATATGACTTGTGTCCTTAGAAGAAGGGAATGTGAAGACACAGAGAGAGAATGCCATGTGATGCAGCGGCAGATGAAGGAGCACCAGGGGTTGCTGGCCACCACCAGAAGTGAGGAAGAAGAGAGGAAGGATTCTGTCCAGAGTCCAGAGGGTCTGGTCCTGCTGACACCTTAGCTTTCTAGCCCCCAGAGCTGTCAGAGAATACATGTTCATTGTTAAAGCCGCCTGGTGTGTGGCACTCTCTTGTAGTAGCCCCAGGTCCAGCACGGAGTCTCTCCACCCTGTCTTTCTGTCTGGGAGCAGCACTCTGCCTGGCCGGCAGGACGGCTCATGGCATCCTCACCAGGAGCATCTGAAGGATCTGCCAGCCAGTGCAGGTGTCCCATGGATGCTCAAACTCTGCTGACATTCGGTTTGAAGTTAGGGTTCAAGCTTCATTAGAACAACATTGAGGGGAATTCAAACTATGGAAAACATTCATCACATTCCTTTCCTAAAAGTTGCCACGTTCTGTGGCCTTGCCAACATTCTTTCATTTGCACATGTGTGTATGTGACTGTGACCTCAGTCCACGTTTAGCCTTGTGATCTGCCCTTTCCACTCCACACACATTGTTGTTACATCAT